GTTATACTGTTGAATTGCTATAATCATTGGTTAAATATTAGGGGGGAAAAATTCCTAAAGACATAAGTAATATTGATATCAGTGATACCTTCAGTCATAAAAAAATATTTAACAAATATTACAAATATACTTTCTTTATGTTGTTTCTACATTAATTTGAAGATTGAATGTGAAATTATTGCAATATAAAAGTATATTTAAAAACTTTAATGTTAGGTGGGATTAATTGCGATTAATTTCAGAAAAAAATGTGTGATTAATTAGTCATTTTTTTAATCGATTGACAGCACTCACTGTATATACATATATACACAAATATTTTTACAAATACTGTACGTGTCAAATCAGTGTCAGTTTCAGCAGCGGCAGCTCTTAAAGTAATAGCAGTCAAATAACTTAAAAACCAGCTGCTGTGATCTCTGTTAATCAAAGAACAAAAGAGGAAATCAGTAACTTTTGTAGCTTTAAGGATTCATCTATATTTAATTTAGTATTTAGTGTTTGATGACTTTATTCAATTTCTGTATATTTCTTACTTGCTGAAGGGCACAGGTAAATAATGGGTTTATGTGAAGATTGTTTTAAGTTCACTTAAATTAGAAGTTATACTGTTGAATTGCTATAATCATTGGTTAAATATTAGGGGGGAAAAATTCCTAAAGACATAAGTAATATTGATATCAGTGATACCTTCAGTCATAAAAAAATATTTAACAAATATTACAAATATACTTTCTTTATGTTGTTTCTACATTAATTTGAAGATTGAATGTGAAATTATTGCAATATAAAAGTATATTTAAAAACTTTAATGTTAGGTGGGATTAATTGCGATTAATTTCAGAAAAAAATGTGTGATTAATTAGTCATTTTTTTAATCGATTGACAGCACTCACTGTATATACATATATATACAAATATTTTTACAAATATATTTTGTTATGTTTGTATTATTTTAATGTTATTTTTAAACCTTAAATAAATTATTTTATAATTTTTTTTTGCACAAAATCATGATAATCTGTCCTTAAAAAAATACTCATAAATTTGCCTATGTTTGACATTATTATAATCAAAAAACAAAACAAACACCTTAAATGTTTTTATTAATGTGAGGAGCTCATATTAAAAATGAGGATGATTTCACACGCTGTTGCAAAATTTGAGAAAACTCGTGATACACGCATAACCTCTGAAATGATACTACGGACTGCATGGGTGCCTCTCATGAAAAAAAATTCCTAAAGACATAAGTAATATTGGTATCAGTGATAACCTCTGAAATGATACTACGGACTGCATGGGTGCCTCTCATGATAGAAAATTCAGTTTTACTATTTAAAGTCATGCTGCCTTTTGTAAATTATTTATAGCATTTCTGTAACCTTGGCCATCTCATCACAAACTCACCTGTTCGAAACCAACCAAACACTGACTCATTTCTGTCAGTAACTCACAGACTGATTCACAAGTTCATGAATATACAGTATCTAATTAACCTAATTCAAAGGATGGGCAATTTTGACATGCTTGGCGGTGATGAGTTCTGCACGGGCACAGTCTATCTAAATCTATTACCTGAATGTTGCATACTAACAATACTAAAAGTTCAATCACATACTAAACATAGCTTTACTTTATTGCTGAACTCTAATTCTGCAGCTGGATTTGTTTTGTTTTGAAACATTATAAAATGTTATTTACAGATTCAAATAGTTCTCAGTAGGAATATGAATTCATATGTTGTTATTGTGTCTTCACTCAGTGCATGGTTGGCGGCCTATGAGCATCCAGTTGTGGATTGCATAAACCAGCGCATAGAAGACATCACAGGCCTCAATGTCAAAACAGCAGAAGAGCTACAGGTAAGGTTCATGCGGCGTTTAATGCATGAGACTGAGAATAGTTAGGTTCAGTTTTTTTTAGTTTATACTTTCGTTCTTGCTTAGGTGGCGAATTATGGTGTTGGTGGACAATATGAGCCCCACTTTGACTTTGGACGGGTAAATACAAAGTTCTTTAACCGTTACCCTGTTACATTGAGAATGCAGGGTTTTCACACACGCAACATGTCATTTTAACATTTTTTTCTACCAGAAAGATGAACCAGATGCCTTTAAAGAGCTGGGCACAGGAAATCGAATAGCAACCTGGCTGATCTATGTGAGTAGGATTTGATTGGTTCTTCTACTCTCATCATAACTTCATTCAATGTAAAACATGGGCTTTGTTGCAGATGAGTGATGTAGCTGCAGGGGGCACCACAGTCTTTCCAGAAGTTGGAGCTACAGTAAAGCCAATGAAGGTGCGTTCTATTAGTCCATTTTTTCTTTTTTACAGAAACCATATATATCACAATATAGATATTTTTGCTAGAAATTTGATGCCAAAATCATTAATATTTTACCTGCCCTTGTGATAAAGAAGTATAGCTTAGCATATTTTTCAATTGTGGAAAGAATATTCTTAAGTGTGAACTGAATGACATGGTTGCCTTTTCTATTAATAATTGCCACTTGTTTGTGTCTGTGTTCAGGGTACAGCCGTCTTCTGGTATAATCTGTTTCCCAGTGGAGAGGGAGATTACAGCACGAGACACGCAGCTTGTCCAGTACTGCTGGGTAACAAGTGGGGTGAGTGTCTCAGACACAGTGTATTGTCAGGAGATTTTCTTTATGCTCTAAATGGATCATGCTTATTTGAGTAATTATGTATTTCTATATAACAATGGCTTTGTATGTGTTCCTCCTAATGTGTATATACTAATTTTAACAATAATTAACTGACACTAGTTTTTACTAATTATTATTATAATAGGCATTTTCCCCATTACGATTATAAATATACCTTGTTAAAATGACATATTATTCCATAAATAATATGAATTATATTAAAAGTCTTCTCTTTTTCTTAATATATTATGTTAGATATATCATCTAAAATTGTCAACGATGCTTTACATTTCTTTTCTAATAATTCATGCACTTGAGCAAATAGTTAGTGATGTCAAATTGAACGATCAACCCTTTTTCTTTTATTGCTTTATGAGTATTTTCTGCTGTATTAACAAGCAAGCACATTTTAGTTGAATCTTGCATTAAAAAGCATGTTATATGTCACCCCTGTTACCATCATAATTATTGTTTATAAAAATAATGAATTTTTCCATAAATGAAAAAAAAAGAAAACCTCTTAAAGACTTCATCATCCTTGACACATAAAAGTCTTCTCATTTTTAATGACTTTGTCTTATCTATTATGTTTGGTTTGTCACAATCTGAAATCATCAACTGTTACCATCATTGCATTTATATTTTCTAATAATTCATGCACTTAATCAAATAGTTATTAATGTCAAAATAAACTATCAACCATTTTACTTTCTTCATGAGTATTTCCTGCTGTGTTAGCAAATAAGCAAAACCTCTTGAAGTCGTGCTGTGTCAACCCTGTTACTACCACAACTGTCCCTTGTTAAAAAAATGTATTAAATCAAATTTTTGTTTTTATTCATTAATCAGATAATAGTTAGTAATGTCTGTTTGAACTATCGATGCTAACTTCTAAAGCTTCCTAAACTTTATGAACTTTCAACCCTGTTGGATTTCTGAAGGCAGCCTCACCATGCATTTAGCTTGAGATGGCACAATGGATTTCTTAGAGAAATTTCAAAAAACAATCTGTCTGATGTCTTTTCCATTCTCTCTTTCTGTCCGTTAGTGTCAAATAAATGGATCCACGAGAGAGGTCAGGAATTCAGGAGACCCTGCGGCCTGAAAGAGGTAGATTGAGCAAACACCTCCACCATCTTCCTCATGCACTCCTCCCCCTGGACTCTGAAAACATGAACAGCAACCTCCCTGCTGTTCATGTCCACTGTGTCCGCAGCAGCCAACATGTGACCTGTCACATTTATTTTTAACTGAAGCGTATGTGTGTGTGTGTGTATGTGTGAGCTAGCCTACAGTTACATTACCTCTGTTAGTGCCTTTTGTCATTGCACACCAGGGCTTCAAAGGATGGAGCTATTCCTGACAACACTCCTTTACAAACAGGCCTTTAACCATTGAGCTGTATAATGCTATCATATCAGCATATCTTCAACACTTACTCTGACTGACAGTCAGACCAAAGTGACAAATGCGAGAAAGAACATAAAATGCTTGTTTGCAGTGTTCACTGAATGATAGGGGATAATAAAAATGATTTTTCCAAAATGAGTCTTTTTGCTTCATTATTGCCCTTCTCCTTTATTATAACTTTTTTTAGTCAAAATGATTAGAACACTAGTATTTTCAGCAGCTAAAATGGTTTTAAGTCAGTTATTTCTATCTTTTGCTGTAGTGTGTCAGTAGGAAATATCAGTTTACATTTCCAAACATTCCTTTTGCCATTAATTGTAATAATCCAGTGAGATTTTTGTCTGACAGCAACCAGTGCTCCACACAGAGATCTGATCTCACCGTCATCCAGTCTTTCTGGAATGATGTGAAGAAACAGAACAAACTGAGACAGACTAAATCCAGCAGAACTGTGGAAACGTCTCCAAGATGCCTCAAGAAACCTACCTGCAAAGCTACAGTACTGTTCAAAGTTTTAGGCACTTGTGTAAAAATGCTATAAAATGAGGATGCTAGGATGATAAATTAACATTTGGTGTGAGATTTTGCCCTCTGTGCGCTTGCGCAGAGTTTTTCAGGTAGCTTTGCAGGTAGGTTTCTTGAAGCATCTTGGAGATATAACCACGGTTCTTCTGGATTTAGTGGTTTTCGGTTTATGTATATGCTTTATTTTACAGGATTAATTGTTTTGTTTCCAAGGCCATTGATAGATGCCAGTGTTTCCTGTCATAGCTATGCAAAGATGTGATTTCAAAAACATAGCTATTAAACGGTTTCTTGTTATGATTTTGAATCTGTATTTACTGCAGAATGAAAGCGGTGCTAAAGTCTGATTTTGTGGTGGCTGTGCTTTAAAATTCAATTATTATAATCTTAATTTCAAATGAAGAAGGATTTTGAAAGTCTGACAGCAATAAGTGTTGAGTACTAAGGTTAGCCCTGCCTGCTTTAAATGTTTCAAAATGATTAACTGATAAAAATATTTGTTAGACATTTAGAAAAGTAATCAAATGTAATCTGTTACATTACTTTAATAAAGTAAATGAAATAGTCACACTACTTATTACATTTTAAATATGGTATATTGTAATCTGTAACCTATTACATTTCCAAAGTAACCTTCCCAACACTGCATTACCCAACACATTAACTGAACCATGTTAGTACATATTGATATCAGACCAACCAAAGATGTTCTGCTAGTCTTGGTTATGTACATATGATGGGGCTTATCCACTTTTTTTTTTTTTTTTTTTTTGGAAGTGCTTATACATAAGCCATACATAACCAACAAAATATCAAACCCTTGCTTTAGTGCAGTGGTTGATTGACAGCTGAGTAGGTGACGAGTGACTCAGAGCGTGTCCGAGACACAATTTTTTATATAATAGAAAAGTAACTGGAAAAAATGTTTCTAGAAAAATGATTAAATATTATATTAAATGTTATTAATTTAGTGAAAAACATTAAGATTGTTACCTTTTTTACTTTGCTTCAGCTCTTTTTTGGTAACCTACAACAATGTTTTTTTGATTGTAATGATGTTGCCTCTTTATGTACAGCTTTCATATATCTTTGAAATTCATTTTTATGCAGGAAAATAATGACAAAATGACCCAAGGACCTGCTTGATGACATCAAGTAAATAGACCAGAAGATGGTCTGTGCTGGTCTTGGCTATGCATCTATAATGATGATGAGCTACTTATCCATTATCTAGTTTTGCATGATGAGTTTCTTATAAAGTCACACATTAAAATCAATGATTATTTTATTTCTTGCATTAAACATTGTTAACCTGGCAACAATGTCTTTTTAGTTAAAATGATGTTGCCTCTGAAAAAAAAAACAATCATACTTTATGTACAGCTTTTTAAGTTCTGCATAGATACTGTGGCATAATCAGTGTTGGGAGTAACGCGTTACAGAAGTAATGCATTACAGTAACGGATTACTTTTTTGCTGTAACGCAGTAGTGTAAGGCATTACTAATCAATTTTCAGTAATATTTTACTCGGTACATGTTCAGTATAACGCTTGCGTTACAACCAGGGGTTAAATTGGGATTCATTATGTGGGGGGGTTCTATGGTATAGAGTTATGTTGTGTGATGTTACAGAGTAAATAACTGTATTTTAAATATAAAAACTTTCCATTTTGAATTTTTACCTCAGGATGCTGAGTTTCTTAGTGTTTTGATTTCTCCTGGAGAGGCTGCGTGAGCCTCGCCTCAGCAGTGCAACCTTATTCCGTCAATAGATGCATTATATACAGTAGCTATATCCACTATTCGCCACTTACTCTAAATGTAATAAAATCAGAATAATACTTGCGTTTTGGTGTTTACATAGTTATTTTTGGTTACTGATGTTTTAATTATGTTATTTGTCTGGCGTTAATGAAGCGTTAATGTCGAGCCCTGGAGCCTAGGGTTAGGGTTATTACATTTTATTACCCGGCCCAATTTAAACCCTGGTTACAACACACTTTTAGGCCAAATTTAATTGTTCAAAGAAAAAAAAAAAACAGCAAGACCGCGAGACGTTAACGAATCAAAAATGCCGCAAATAAGTTCTATTTCCTGTTCGTGGTCAGTCAATATTCGTGTGGTGTCCAAGTTTATAAATAAAGACAACGACAGCTTCTGATATATTTGTTTAGCGATTTATTTCATTCATCTCCTTCTCGCTGGTGGAACGTTGTATTGTGTGACGTAGTCCAGTGAAGGCGTGTTTAGGGCGGGTTTTACAGGAGTGCTGCGACCCGCGAGGAATTACAGTAACAAGTAATCTATAATGTATTACAGTTTGGAAGTAACTTGCACAACACGGTATAATTTGCATATATCTTTGGAATTCACTTTTATACAGGAATAAAATAAATGGAAATTACCCTTTAAATTCAATTTAAATAACATGATGGCCTAAATAATGATGCCAGTAAGTAAATATAACAAAAAAAGAAAACAAAATAACAAAAATAAAGCCTGTGATTTATGGATTTGGAATTTGGTAATCGGGCTCATGAGACCCCTCGCGGACCCGTCCGAAGCAGCTCAGTATCAGATCCACAGCAGCGTTTACTGTTGATTTAATTTCATCCTCTGTTTTGCCCTGCTTTGGGTTCACTTCCACCATGTCTACAGCAGAGAGAAGGCCTGGAGGGAAGTCAAAACATACATTCATGTCAACATGCCTAAGAAAGACCAAGAAGGATTATGATAATGAAATTTGCTCATTTAGCAATAGCCAAGCAAAGAAATGTTAATATGGCTTTTTAATAGTGACTGGCTTTTTAACTGACACAAGGGGGAGCTAAATCATTTGATCGTCAGACAAGTGTGCTTGGACCTTTGGTTAAAGGGGTCATATGATGTTGCTAAAAAGAACATTATTTTGTGCATTTGGTGTAATGAAATGTGTTTATGTGGTTTAAGGTTAAAAAAACTTTTGTTAGGTTCAAAAAATTATTGTTTCTCCTCTATGCCCCGCCTTTCTGAAACGCGTCGATTTTTAAAAGCTCATCGGTCTGAAAAGCGAGGTGTGCTGTGATTGGTCAGCTATCCAGTGCGTTGTGATTGGCTGAATACCTCAAGCGTGTGACGGAAATGTTACAGTAGTTTTGCTTTCATAACGAAACACACAGCGTCACACACGGCGGGCTTGAGTGAGCGGCGACGGGCGGACTTGAGAATGGCGTGGCCGGCGGATTCGACGAAGGAGCGGCTGGCGGGCTTGCGGTAACCACATGTGACGACCCCGGGCTGGACTCCGCTTCGTCCACGGTGAAAGCTGATCCAGCGATCCACAGCACGAAGTTGATGTATTCCCTCAGCGACCAGCACGGATCAGCTCTAGGCATGACGAAGCGGATATCGTCCTCTTTTGGAAGGCCAAACAAAGTAGTTTCGCTTTCACAACGAAACACACAGCATCTTCACGACATGGCGGCAGCAACAATACTACAGCGAGAATAAAAGTTACGCCTTCTTTCTTTGCGCGAACGTTTGTGCGGCGTTATGCAAATCTTCCCACATAGTGACGTAGACATGTGGGGGCGTGTTTGAACGAGCCGTTTTAGGTAGGCGTGGTTGACTCTTAACTTTTATAAAGAATATATCTTTGGATTTGAGACTTTAGTCTTTGCAACTTTACAGATCTTCTTTATGCACCAAGAGCTTGTAACACTTCAAAGAGAAAGGAAAAATTGAAATCGCACCATATGACCCCTTTAATAATTTCAGAAAGGCCAAATAGCTGCCAGTTTGTTAGCCTGGAAGATTTTGAAATCTCTTACCATTGGACATATCCTCATGTTCTCACCTGTCTGACAGATGTGTTCAGTTATATAAATGCCCTCTCTGTAGGTCAGTCCTCCCGCTGCAGGTGTGCCTGTTGCAGGTGAGACCGATGGATCCAGTGCATCAATGTCAAAACTGAGGTGGATGGGTTTTTTCACCCTGATCCAGAAAGAGTAGCAATGCTTCAATACATATTTACTCTTATGAAGATTAGGTCATGAAAAATAGAAAATAATTCACACACGTACTTTGAAAACATGTGATCACACGTCTGCTCCATTACTTTTGCTATTCCAAGCCTATCAACCTCTGTCATGGAGAACATTTTGATTCCAAGGTGCTTCAGGATATAACTGTGATGTAAGTGTGTGATTTGGACTTCATAACGAATCATGAAATAGTGATATGCATAAATTATTTTGTAGAATCGACAGACTTACTGTTCTTCTGGGTCTACATCTCTGAGTCCAATGTAGACAATGTCCTTAGCTGCTACACAAGGCTTTAACCATGAGAAATGTGGAATTATGGGAATCTAAGAAAGAATAAGAATTTTTTTTTTACAAAATATTTTCAATGTTTCAAATCATAAAATGCCATCTCAAATAAAGCTAAAGGAGTGGACCTTATTAATAGTAGTATTTCACCTAAACCTCAAACCGGAATAAAATACACTGCTCAAAAAAATTAAAGGAACACTTTGAAAACACATCAGATGTGAATGGGGGAAAATATCATGCTGGATATCTATACTGATATGGACTGGGTAATGTGTTAGGAATGAAAGGATGCCACATCGTTTGATGGAAATGAAAATTATCAACGTACAGAGGGCTGAATTCAAAGACACCCCAAAAATCTAAGTGAAAAAATGATGATGCAGGCTTCTCCAGACCCTTTCACGTCTGTCACGTGTGCTCAGGGTGAACCTGTTCTCTCATCTGTGAAACGCACAGGGAGCCAGTGGCGGAGCTGCCAGTTCTGGTGTTCGATGGCAAATGCCAATCGAGCTCCACGGTGCCAGGCAGTGAGCACAGGGCCCACTAGACGTCGGGCCCCCAGGCCACCCTCATGAAGTGGGTAATGTGTTAGGAATGAAAGGATGCCACATCGTTTGATGGAAATGAAAATTATCAACGTACAGAGGGCTGAATTCAAAGACACCCCAAAAATCAAAGTGAAAAAATGATGATGCAGGCTATTGCATGATGCAGGCTTCTCCAGACCCTTTCACGTCTGTCACGTGTGCTCAGGGTGAACCTGTTCTCTCATCTGTGAAACGCACAGGGAGCCAGTGGCGGAGCTGCCAGTTCTGGTGTTCGATGGCAAATGCCAATCGAGCTCCACGGTGCCAGGCAGTGAGCACAGGGCCCACTAGACGTCGGGCCCCCAGGCCACCCTCATGAAGTCTGTTTCTGATTGTTTGTTCAGAGACATTCACAGGGCTCTGGCAGTGCTCATCCTGTTCCTCCTTGCACAAAGGAGCAGATACCGGTCCTGTTGATGGGTTAAGGACCTTCTACGGCTCTGTCCAGCTCTTCTAGAATAACTGCCTGACTCCTGGAATCTTCTCCATGCACTTGAGACTGTGCTGGGAGACCTTCTGGCAATGGCACATATTGATGTGCCATCCTGGAGGAGTTGGACTGCCTGTGCAACCTGTGTAGGGTCCAGGTATCGCCTCATGCTACCTGTAGTGACACTGACCCTAGCCAAATGCAAAACTAGTGAAAAACAGATGAGTACGGGAAAAAATGTCAGTGGCCTCCACCTGTAAAACCATTCCTGTTTTGGGGGTCATCTTATTGTTGCCCATCTAGTGCACTTGTTGTTAATTTCATTAACACCAAAGAAGCTGAAACTGATTAACAACCCCCTCTGCTACTTCCTATAAACAGGAAATTATATTTTGCTAGAAAGAAATAAAAGTCTATTTTAGCACTGTTGAGGCACTGTTTCATCCCAGTTAAGTTGATTTCTTACATAAATTCTTGTAACCATACAATTTATATTGCATTTGTTCACTTTGCAATAATGAAAAATAGATTTTGTATTATGAATTATATATATATATATATATATATATATATATATGTATACTAGAATAAAAATAATAATCATGAATTACTGCAATTACAGGTAATGTCACATTATCTTAATTGGAGTTTCAGGAGAAATGTTTTTTGTGTAATTTGTGCATAACAATAATGTCACAAAGTAAAATAATCCTAATGGTTTTCTTAAAAAGTTTCTATGAACTTTTCAATAAGTTAGCTGTTAATGTTTATTAGTTATGAGTGTACTAAAGGCACAGATACTGACAACTGCATGTCAGCCATGGTCAGGAAGTTAAAGTCGGACATCTCTTTAGGAGTTTTTTGTGATGAGACTGACAGTAACGTAATGACTTTGTAACATATTACACAAACTAACAAAGGTGCTGAAATGATTAAAGACCATCATTCACCTTTGAGTGCAGTTCATGGATGAGGTACGACAGCGGTTGGCCGTGAATGTTTCCCGTTGGTGTGGTTAAAGGCGTGTTGATGTCTGCGTGTGCATCTACCCATAAAACACTCAGCTCATGTCTTGAGGCGGCATGACCAGAGATCGAACCAATCGCCAAGCTGTAAAAAAACAGCAAACATTACTGAGAATAGGTTCAAACATTAAACTGAACAGAACTGGAAGCACACAATGACCTGTGATCTCCTCCCAGCATCACACAAGTGTTGCCATCGCTCTTGATCTTCAGCACAGCTCCTGCGAGCAGCTCATTGGCACGGCCGACTGCTCTCGGAGTCTTCAGTCTGCCAATGGGCTCATCATTGGGAATGTCCTCAAAAATCAGATTCCCATAATCCTTCACTACACAACCTGGAGAGAGACAGAGGGCTTTCTATCATCATTTACACGTAATGGAAATTATTTTGTAGCTTTAACACACAAAAGAAAAAGTGTACTGGCCATTATTTTGCATACAATTAAAGTGAATGGGGAAGGGAGTTGCATTCAGAATATCTATCTATCTATCTATCTATCTATCCATCTCCATCCATCCATCCATCCATCCGTCATCTCTATCCATCTATCTATCTATCCATCCATCTCTATCCATCCATCCATCTCCATCCATCCATCCATCTCTATCTATCTATCCATCCATCCATCCATCCATCCATCCCCATCCATCCATCCATCTCTATCTTCTATCTATCTATCTATCCATCTCCATCCATCCATCCATCCATCCATCCGTCCGTCCATCCGTCATCTCTATCCATCTATCTATCTATCCATCCATCTCTATCCATCCATCCATCTCCATCCATCCATCCATCCATCCATCCATCTCTATCTATCTATCCATCCATCCATCCATCTCTATCTAGCCATCCATCCATCCATCTCTATCTATCTATCTATCCATCCATCCATCCATCTCTATCTATCTATCTATCTATCTATCACTACCAGTCAAATGTTTTTCTACAGTAAGATTTTTTATGTTTTTTAAAGAATTATCTTCTGCTCACCAAGCCTGCATTACAGCAAAAGCGGTAATATTGTGAAATATTGTTACTATTTAAAATAACTGCTTTCTATTTGAATATAGGCTACTTAAAAAAATAAAATTATTCCTGTGATTTCAAAGCTGATTTTTTGCATCATTACTCCAGTCACATGATCCTTCAGAAATCCTTTTAATATTCTGATAAGCTGCTCAAAAAAACATTTATTATTATTATTATGTTGAAAACAACTGAGTAGAATTTTTTTCAGGTTTCTTTAATGAATAGAAAGTTCAGAAGAACAGCATTTATCTGACATAGAAATCTTTTGTAACATTATAAATGCCTTTATCATCACTTAATATATATACACACACTGACTCCAAACTTTTGAATGGTATAGTGTATAATACTGTTACAAAAGCTTTTTATTTCAGATAAATGCTGATCTTTGGATCTTTCTATTCATCAGAGAACCCTGAAAAATATGTATTCAACTGTCAAGTCATGCACTGAAAATATATCTATAATATATTGTTTTGATGCACAGTGTCAGGTTTGAGTCACCATTTATTTTTCCATTCCTTTTTAATATAATACTTTATTGGCATGGTTGTGTGTACATACAATATTGCCTAATCATTATTTCACCAAAAATATAAAGAAAAAGAAATATCATATTGCAATAACAGACGGTAGAATTAGTATTATTATTAGTATTATTCATTTCATCCATTTCTTCAGAACTGGAAAAGTGTAGCATGAGGTTGAGAGTTTGCAGAAGTGTTTCTCTCTCACCTCTTTATTCTTTATATTTTCTCAGAGTGAAGAAGAAAAATGATTATATTATATTATATTATAAACAAATATTATTTAAAAGGTAAACTGGAAGGCTGGAGACTGAACATTCACTTCGGAAGTTTCAAAAGTGTGCTATTCAATTATTAAATGAATGCTGTTGAAAGTATCCTTCAAATATGTAAAAATCTCGGAATGAACATTTCAATAAATCACTCATTTTAGACAGTCTGTCACCGATTTAACTTTTTAGACCTGTAGAGTTCTCTGTTCTGCCATCAGCTCAAGTTTTTAAACATTACTGGGTTTGTTTGAGTTCAAATGTGCAAATACACGCTCGACTCTTATTGAGTAACAGAACTCAATCCAAAATATTGCAATGCGCACAGAAAGGGGAGTAGCGCAACGTCTCTATCTATCTATCTATCTCCATCTCTATCCATCCATCCATCTATCTATCACTACCAGTCAAATGTTTTTCTACAGTAAGATTTTTTATGTTTTTTTTTTAATATAGGCTACTTAAAAAAATAAAATTATTCCTGTGATTTCAAAGCTGATTTTTTGCATCATTACTCCAGTCACATGATCCTTCAGAAATCCTTTTAATATTCTGATAAGCTGCTCAAAAAAACATTACAGCAAAAGCGGTAATATTGTGAAATATTGTTACTATTTAAAATAACTGCTTTCTATTTGAATATAGGCTACTTAAAAAAATAAAATTATTCCTGTGATTTCAAAGCTGATTTTTTGCATCATTACTCCAGTCACATGATCCTTCAGAAATCCTTTTAATATTCTGATAAGCTGCTCAAAAAAACATTTATTATTATTATTATGTTGAAAACAACTGAGTAGAATTTTTTTCAGGTTTCTTTAATGAATAGAAAGTTCAGAAGAACAGCATTTATCTGACATAGAAATCTTTTGTAACATTATAAATGCCTTTATCATCACTTAATATATATACACACACTGACTCCAAACTTTTGAATGGTATAGTGTATAATACTGTTACAAAAGCTTTTTATTTCAGATAAATGCTGATCTTTGGATCTTTCTATTCATCAGAGAACCCTGAAAAATATGTATTCAACTGTCAAGTCATGCACTGAAAATATATCTATAATATATTGTTTTGATGCACAGTGTCAGGTTTGAGTCACCATTTATTTTTCCATTCCTTTTTAATATAATACTTTATTGGCATGGTTGTGTGTACATACAATATTGCCTAATCATTATTTCACCAAAAATATAAAGAAAAAGAAATATCATATTGCAATAACAGACGGTAGAATTAGTATTATTATTAGTATTATTCATTTCATCCATTTCTTCAGAACTGGAAAAGTGTAGCATGAGGTTGAGAGTTTGCAGAAGTGTTTCTCTCTCACCTCTTTATTCTTTATATTTTCTCAGAGTGAAGAAGAAAAATGATTATATTATATTATATTATAAACAAATATTATTTAAAAGGTAAACTGGAAGGCTGGAGACTGAACATTCACTTCGGAAGTTTCAAAAGTGTGCTATTCAATTATTAAATGAATGCTGTTGAAAGTATCCTTCAAATATGTAAAAATCTCGGAATGAACATTTCAATAAATCACTCATTTTAGACAGTCTGTCACCGATTTAACTTTTTAGACCTGTAGAGTTCTCTGTTCTGCCATCAGCTCAAGTTTTTAAACATTACTGGGTTTGTTTGAGTTCAAATGTGCAAATACACGCTCGACTCTTATTGAGTAACAGAACTCAATCCAAAATATTGCAATGCGCACAGAAAGGGGAGTAGCGCAACGTCAGTGTTACTGCTCTTATGAGATCACGTCTTAGGTAAATAAATAAAAACCACACATGGCATCAGTCCCTCTAGCTTGTATAAAGTTACCCTATAAAACATTTGTGAAACAACAGACAGACAGATCAAATATAGACTCTGAAACATTTCAAGCTTTTTACGAAAATGGCAATGATAAATAAGGATTGCGTTGTCGCCTGACCTTAAAATAAACATTAGCAGTTGGAGGTACTGTATAATGGCTAGTTGACAAATAACACATTACCATTCTTGCGTCAAGATTTAGGTTCAAGTTTAAATGAATTTATATACAGTACAGCCTATATTTTTGACATGCTATAACTAGTCACAATTTTCATCCATTTTAACAGCATCTACTCACATTTAAACTTTTTTAAACGCAAAGATCCCATGTTGTCTTTTTTTAAATAAATAAATTAGGTAACACTTTATTTGACAATGTCCTTGTTACACATACTTACCACAGTAATAGCAAGAAATGATGCATAATTATATGCAACCCTAATTATAACCCTAACTCTGTAGTAGCCTAAGTACATGTTATTAATGAATATTTTATTCTGTACTGTATCATTACACGGTGACCCAGACACCTTAAAATAAAGTGTAACCAAAAATGTATTTTAGAAGCATTATACTGTACTCAAACCCTGATAAAAGCAGTGTAAATATCAGGAGGTGTAGTTGTGGTACCTTGCCCTTTAAGTTTCTGCACCAATCCAGCAGCTCGAATGAGGTCTGCTCCTCTCTGCACACCATCTCTCTGCTGCAGTAACAGTCAATAACATGAGCACTGGACCACTACCATACTGCACCATGCATGGATTTATATGTTTATGCAAACATATTCTTTTTTAGATACTTGTTTATCATTATTGCAAATGAGAAGAGGATGCTTCTTAGGGGGTTTATATCTCACCTGTCCTTTAGAAAAAGGAGCACCTATTATTCCCACACAGTGATGATGATGGAGGTCTCTTGAGAATATGTGAAAAGCGGCTCGAATTCCTCTGAAGCTCTTCATCACTGTTATTATGTATCCAGCAGCAGTCTGGAGTAAGCGGCTCTCAAATCAAAGCAGATTAAAGGACCTGTGACGACACGCATCCGGTGTCAGTCATTGGGCTGCTCGCGCTCTTCTGTCTTAACCTGGGTTTTCTTTTCTGTTTTGTTCAAGAAAAGTTCATGTGGAAGAATTGATTTTAGTTGACGCCATCGTCTAATTTGCATACGAAGTGGTTAATTAACATAAACAGCGCATATGAAAATATAAACTTAAGGATCAAGAAATTATACGTATTTATATTATATAGGCTAATATGATATTTAATTCGTTATTTTCTTAGTTTAATATTTATATTTAAATATGAATACATTTTTATATTTTGTGTCTATTTAAATTTTAGTAACATTTATTTATAGTTAGTTATTCTGATGTCTGTTTTGGCTAGGTTTCATTTTATTTGTGTTATTTTAGTGCATCGCGCACAAAAATGAAAATGAGAAACGTCTTGGCAACGAGCTGAAATGAAAATAAGTGTTAAGGTTTTTATATATTATTTCAGTTAAGGTTTATTTTATTTAAAAGTGACAAAATGCACTTTATGGTTTTAGTTAAAGGGGTCATATGATGCGATTTCAGTTTTTCCTTTCTCTTTGGAGAACCCCGCTGCCTCTGCTCACTCCACTCTCAGCTCACGCTAGGCCGCTGTGTTTTACGTTGTGAAAGCGAACCTACGTTGTTTGGTCTTCCAAAAGAGGACACGACTAGAAATCAGTGGTTAAGTTGTATTTACCACACTGTTCCAGAACACTTCAACCCAAATATCCAGATGTGTGCAGCACATTTTATGGAGGACTGTTTACTGATCCTAGGAGAGTAACGTTAGACTAAAATGCCGGCAGTTCTGACTCACATAAGTACGTTTTCATTTAAAGGATTTGCCACTGATGATTCAAACGCGAGTTTTGGGCAGTGTAGAGTAGCACTTGTTGTTTGTCATTTCTCCGATCACGCGGCACGATGCAATGCAACGCGTAAAAAGACTGTATACTTCATTATAATCAGTAATTATGTCCCCACTGGATGCAACAAATGCCTCGTTTGTAATGGGTTTTAATGTTTTTGTCTCGTCGCTCCGGCCGGACATGGCATCAACAGTATGTTGAGGGGCGTAACATTTCCGTCACACGCTTGAGGTATTCGGCCAATCATAACGCACTGGATAGCTGGCCAATCACAGCACACCTCGCTTTTCAGACAGATGAGCTTTGTAAAAATTGAAGCGTTTCAAAAAGGCGGGGCATAGAGGAGAAACAATAATGTACAGTATGTGGAAAATAATGTTTTTTGTGACTTTAAACCACATAAACACATTTCATTACACCAAATACGCAAAATAATATTCTTTTTAGCAACATCATATGACCCCTTTAACTGTAATAAACCCTATATATATATATATATATACACACACACACCCATTATTTTTTAGTTAAATTTGAGCAATTACTAGGTTTGTTCATTACTCTTTAATCAAAACTTGGTTGTACAATCACATGACCCCATTGCATGTGAAGTCAAGTCACATTTATTTATATAGCACTTTAACAATACGCATCGTTTCAAATCAGCTTTACAAGGATAAAAAGGAAAAATTGATTCAATGATGCAAACAGAGAGCAATTGTTCATTGTTGATTCAATTATTGACATCAATTATGAAATGAGATCAATTCAGCTGTAAAGCAGACTTGTAATGTCATCATCCACCTCAGTTCAGTTCTCATCCAATAGTGTCAGTACAGTTACTTTAATAATATTGCTGAATAGGACATGTGCCCAGCTAATCAAGCCAGAAGTGACAGTGACAAGGACAGAAATGGGGGGGAGGGGGAGGGTTGAGGGAAACAAGGCTCAATCAGTGGGCCAGTTCTCCTCTGGCCAAACAAGTCAACATGAGTTTAATTCTAAGCTGCATCACAAGTCATACTGTGGATTGATATCATTTAGAATATTCAGGATCTGTGCTGATGGCCCTCGTGTCAATGAAGTCTTTACAGGGGATCGGTCTCTAGGGATTGTCTTGTTGTCATGGTCTGCGCTGAAATTCAGGGCTGTTGTGGTCATCAATAGGTGCAGGTCCACTATCTGATCTGGATACAGACTGGATTTGGGTGCTCAACAGGAAAAAGATCTACCGCCTACAGTCGATTTTGATATTGTAGGTTTTATCAACTGGCCAGAATTTTGAGACGGCATAACCGCTTGCTCAAGTACTGAGGAGCTAAACCATTTAAATCTTTGTTACTAATTAGCAGGATTTTAAAATGTATGCAATGCTCAATAGGGAGCTAAAAATGTGTTAACAGAACTGGGCTAATATGATCCTACTTTCTGGTTCTAGTGAGAACTCTAGCTGCTGCATTTTGCACTAGCTGGAGTTTGTTTATTAAGCATGCAGAGCAACCACCCAGTGGAGTATAACAATAATCTAGCCTTGAGGCCATGAATGAATGAATGATGCATTTATATAGCGCTTTATTGTGTATTGCTGTACACCCAAAGCGCTTTACAATCATGTCAATCATGAATGCATGAATTAACTTTTCTGCATCTGATATTGAGAGTATGTGTTGTAATTAAGACATACATTTTAAATGGAAAAATGCAGTTTACAAATGCTGGAGATGTGGCTTTCAAATGAAATGACTACAGTCGAATAGTATACCCAGATTCCTACCAAACACAAATGCACATTTTCTAGCCTCATTGTTTTATGATATTCAGATTCCAGAGAGGTACATCGGTATGCATTAGAAAATTCAATATAAAACCATTACTTTTTTAAAAACAATAGACACATTTAAACATCATGTGTGTCGGTTTTATATAACCCTACAGTAAAGCATGTGGCATCCAGTGATTTTTGGCTTCCAAAATTTGTGGCTTTTTAAATTTAAATATACATGGACACAAAGGTAGGACAGGTTGAGCTGTTAGCCAGTGATGAGGTGTGCAGGTAGAACTGCTGGGCAGACACATGTTCATCACCAAATACTGTACAAGGATAACGAATGCACAATTAAAGGGTGTAAGAAGTGCCTGTGATGGTATGAAATCAGTCCCGGGTGGGATTAAAAGTAGTTTTGCAGTGGTTCACCAAGGATAGTCTCCATTTCATGAATGACCTTCTGCACCTGCTGCTCCACTTCCTCACATTCATCTGTGAAACAAGGAGGACGAATAACTAAATTCGGAATTCTGGAACATTTTTGATTGTTAACGAAACAGATCTAAGCGTTCTTAAAATGCAACAAGTCTCAAAGCAACAAAGACGGCACTAGGTAAAACGGTGTACTTTATTTACAAAATCATGTGTGCCCATTTGATTAAATCTTGATGTATAATGTTCTTACCCTCCATAAGCTCAGCCAGAAATGGGATAGTCTCTGGCAGAAGAACCATGTAGTTCTCCCTCAGCTTGCTTGCCAACTCCAGCAGCATGACAAGCGCAGAGAAACGCACCTGAACAAAAAGGCAAACATCGTAATTTATTTTCACTTCTGTATTTAAAATACATGTACGCAAAGAGAAATCAATCCACATATTAGAAAAAAATGAAGTGATTAAAGGCACTAATTTTAATCATTCCCACAATCTATGCCTTCATAATGCAGTATATTCACACAATCAGACAAGAAAATGTTTTTTCAATTTTAATATCACTACATAATAATAATAATAACAATTTTATTTTACAGAACAACATTACTATTACAATAGCCTACTAATATTTATGCCTGTCTTTATTTCTTTGCATTTAAAATGTTAAACTAGAGCTTTTAGATTGGTGTAAAACCTCTAATCTGCTGCTTTGTTGATTTAAGAACTGTTCTCATTACAAATTTGTGAAGAGGGTTGGTACTGGAAAAAACTGGATCATGATTGCATATAAATAAACACAATGTCACCCTTCACTCTAAAACATGTGGCCAGTGTTTGCCTGGCTGGCGAGTATCACCGTTTCATATACTCTGCTGCAACACCAATTTTTTCTCTTATTTGGCACTTGCCCAGTGTTCATTTTTAGATCTTGGATAAGTTGCCAAGGGTATTTCACCCACAGCCTCAAGATGGTGCAATAAAGTTCAAAACTCAAAATTCACATTGACAATTCATGCACCATATGGTTGCATAAACATATACAGTTACAAAATACAAAACATGTAGATTAAGAATTAGTAAAATTATCCACACAGATGGACAAATTAAATTTGTAATTCCAATCAAATTGTAATTCTTCAATTAGTGGTTATGAATGAGCACTGCTCTGTTTGCACACTGGTTTGCATTTATTCATTTATCAGGTTCTTTATCTAAATCGACTTACAAAATGAGGAATAACACAAGCAATCTATCCCAAATTTGTCACTTTTCAATTAAGTGTGAATATGCGGCTACTCTGTATACATACTCAAATTTCACACACACCGATTAAACCCCTAAATTAAACATCATAAAAGATTTATCAGCAAGGTTCCTTTTCAGGATTTCATCTGTAGCTTGTTACTCGTAAATTCTTTCAAATGTATTCCGTTTTTAATGCATAACTATTAAGACTTCTTGAAATTGTTCCTATTCAAAAATGAAAATACCTATACAGATTTTCATAATTGAATTTTGGGCCCTTTAAAATTGTGCCACATACATCACTTCAGCTCTATCTCTGTATGCTTATAGCTCGAATTTAACATTTGCATACCTTGGGTGAACTGTGTCGTGTCTTGAGAAGAATCTGATAATTGAGAACTTTCCACTGCGAGTCATCTCCCATAGCAACGGCAAACTGGGCAATACAGGGCACCAAATGCTTGGTAATGTGGGTCTTGTAGATCTCGTCTCCTCCTAGCACGTTCTCCAACTTTACACACATTTAAAAAAAATGATTAGATGCCACAATGACAAGAAAAACTTTTTATATCATTAATATAATACACAGTTTTCATCTAACAACTATAAAAAAAAGTAGGGATGCACCGATATGAAAATTTTGGCCGATACCGATAACTGATTACTCTTTATTTTTGAAAGCCGATAACCGATATGTTGGCCGATAAATCTATATCCAAATTGTTATATACTTTTTGAGAG